CAAAAAAAAAAAAACCCAAACAATCCCATTAAAAAATGGGCTGAGGAACTGAATAGACATTACTCCAAAGATATACAGATGGCTAATAGGTACATGAAAAGGTGTTCAACATCACTAATCATCAGGAAAATGCAAATCAAAACCATAAAACAACATCAAGTCACATGTTAGAATGGCTGATATTGAAAAGACAAGAAATAACAAGTGTTTGTGAGAATGTAGGGAAAACAGAATCTTTGCGCATTGTTGGTGCAAATGTAAACTGGTGCAACCACTGTGGAAAACAATATGAAGTTTCCTCAAAAAATTGAAAATAGAACAACCATATGATCCAGTAATTCCACTTCTGTATATATATCCAAAGGAATGAAATCACTATCTTGCAAAGATACATGCTCATTATGTTAGAGCAGGCAGTTAGACATAAGCAGGAGAAAGGGGCCAGCCAATCACCAAGGATGACTCCTCCCTGGCCAACCCCTAAGCGGTCCCTAGCTCCCAGTTCCATAGTCAAGGATGCCTAGCTTATCAGGTGGCCCAGACAGTCGAGGACACCCAGATTGTCAAGAGGCTCAGGACCACAGGATTTTCCCTGATTACAGGACATGAGCAAGGTCTGAAGACTTTTTCCAAAAGTAACCCCCCTCATTAACATAATATCTAAACTCTAATAGCACTGTGATTTGGGACCCCCTGTGGATTTTGCTTAGGCACTTATGGGTAAGGTACCTGCACCCTGAGAAAAAGGCTATATATCCTAGAGCTGTCAATCAACTTGTCAATCAAAGGACATAAGACTTAGAGCAGGATTTCCTGCCATCTTAAGAAAAAATAAAATTTAACCTAACCCTAAATAGGGCTGCTTCTGGCTTCCAAACAGCCCACTCTCCTGTCTGAGAGTGTACTTTTTACTTTAAGCCAATAAATTCCTCACTACTTTTTCTTGCTATCTGGTCTCATGACTCAATTCTTTCCTTTGAGAAGACAAGAATTGGAGAAACACAACATATTCCACTATTAACAAGCATTATTCACAATAGCCAAGACATGGAAACTAAATGTCCATCGATGGATGCATGGATAAAGAAAATGTGATATATATGTAATATGTGTGTGTGTGTGTGTGTGTGTGTGTGTGTGTGTGTGTACAAAGGAATATTATTCAGCCATAAAAGGATATTCTGCCATTTTTGACAACGTGGATGGACCTTGAAGATATTATGCTAAGTGAGATAAATCAAATAGAGAAAGACAAATACTGTATTATCTCACTGATAGGTGGAATAAAAAAACTGAACTCATAGGTACAGAGAACAAATTAGTGGTTGTCAGAGATGGAGGGGGGCAAATGTGGGAAATGGGTGAAGGTGGTAAAAAGGTACAAACTTTGGTTATAAGATAAATAAGATCAGGATGTAATATACAACACCATGACTAGAGTTAACAGTATGTATTGTGTATTCGAAAGTTGCTAAGAGAGTAAATCTTAAAAGTTCTCATTTCAAGAAAAAAAATAACTATGTGAGTTGATTGTGTAAACAAACTTACTTATTGTGATAATCATATGTCAAGTCATTATGTAGGATAACTTGGACTAATACAATATTACATGTCGACTATGTATCAATAAAACTGGAAAAGGGAAAAACAACTCATCTGTGTTGAAGCTTTTACCAGTGAGCTAAGCCACCTTCTCTCTTCCTCATTGTCACCCACTGACTTCCCAGTCATATTCCTTTATTTATTGAAAACACTCATCTGAGAAGCACTTCCTTTCCACCTCAACATTAGCCATCATCTGAGGAGATGAACTTTTATACAGACATTTACCTTTACTCTACCATAGTCATCTTCTCTCATGGTGACACCAAGGGTCTTGTCATCAAGATGAGACAGTACAACCTCCAAAATCACTAACTGACAATCACACTCCTCTTAACCTACTAGCTACCTTGCATGTTCAACTATACATTACTGAAATTGTTTATTCACATTGCTGGATCCATTAGCACCTTGATTGCCCCTCTTTCCAAGGAAGCTTCTTTTCTGTTTATTCAATAATCCCCTTCCGTTTTCATTCGCATGCTTAACTGGCTCAGATTCCACGGTGTGTCTGTTAGGTCATCTGCAAATCTCCTCTCTTCTACTGCATCTACCTAGAAAAAAAAAATCTCCTTTCAAGTCCTCTTCTCATATCACTCTTCAAACTGTCTCTAAGTAATATTATCCATTCTAGTGGCTTTAAACACCATCTCTATGCTGACAACCGCCTTTATATCTCCATCTCTATGTTGTCTTCTGCATTCTAAACACACGCAGGTAAGTGCCTGTGTGACATCTCTCAGTGGATATCTTCAAAATACCTCAAATGCATTATTGCCAAAATTGAAATGACTGTTTTTCAACCCTCCTGGGCTCAATAACTCAGTAATCTTGGCATATGGCACCTCATTTTGCATTCAGTCTTGATGTCCAGTCAAACAACGAAGTCCTGTCAGCTCTCTCTCCCTCATTTCTCTCACCTGTCCTTATCCTCCCTCCTCTGCCTTTGTCTATCAAGTTTAAGCCACCTTGACTCTAACAACAGCTTCCTCACTGCTTCGTCATGGCCACTGTCTATACTACTCCCATGTTCATGCTCCAAACAGTAGCACAGAGGAACTGCTTGAAAAAAGTTAAAAACCCTTGCCATCACCCTCAACACCAGGACCATTTGATCTTCCTGTGTTTCCAGGCTCATCTTGCTCCACTTGCTCAGGCACACTGGCCTCCTGTCCATTTCTTAAATGCTCAGAGCGCTGCCCTCCTTGCCTGTTAACACTCTGCTGTGACCTCTTTCCTTGGTTAATGCCTACTTATCCTTAAGGTCTCAGCCTAAACATTCTTTAGGGAGGTATCCCTGACATACAGAACTATTTATCTTTGTTAATTTATAACAAAATAAGTACAAAATAAAATAAAATACTGTAAACTTATACATAAAAACAAATAACATATAAAAAATAAAAATACGTATTTCTTATAATTATGTGTTTAGTGTGAATTAAACATAAAATCCCATTAGACATAAAGTTCACGAGCTCAGAGACTGTCTTAGTCTTATTTACCACTGTCCCTAGTAAGGTGACCAGCCATCAGAATTGAAGAAGTTCTGAGATGTGGGACTTTTCATTTTGAAATCAGGAAAAAACCTAGGCAAACTGAGGGGATCACTTACTTGAATCTTCAGTGCCTATAACAATCCTCAGCAGATACTTGAAAAATGAGTGATTAAAAGGCACAGACTCTCCTTCTAGATCACACAAACATGGTCTCTTCTCTTGAAATCTTTGAAGCCTTTCCTGAACATTTCCACCCTCTTTCTACCTTTCAACTAGACTCCATTGAGATGTTTCCCCCCTCTGGGTTCCCATAATACTGAATATGGACCCTGTTTTAGTACTAATGACACTGCATTGACCGTGTAACTGTGTGTGTTCATATATATATATATATACTCATATATATACTCACTGGACTCTGTGCTACTTGCAGATAGACTATGAGTTCCTAATCTTTTTATTTGCAATACTTATTACAATGCCTGATACATGATAGACACTGATAAATACATGAGAAAGGAGGGGAAAAAGTAAAGAAAAAATAAATGAAAGGAAGATGGAGGAAAAGAGAGAGAAAGGAGAGAAAAAACAAGGGGGGCAATGATCCATCTGGTTATTTGATACAAATGTATGAAGCCATAGGTAGCCTACTTATTGTGCTAATTACTCCAGGTGGTATAATTGTTCTAGTGAGAAGTGGCAAGCAGTGGAACAGACTAATGAAGCAGAAGTTTGGGATAAAAGCCTTCCCAATTTATCCCAAATATTGCTACCTACTATGCTTATGTATATTTCCAGACCTATATGGAAGCATTCTCAGTTCCACCATGCTTAACTCTAAAAGAGGTCATCCGATGATACGGGCTTGGGTGTAGACATGACTTAAATGCTAGGTCAGAGCACATAACCTCAACAC